AGAAAGGTACAATGGACTCTGCTTTTAGATTGCAAAGGGTATAGTCGCTATTATTTGTAAGCTCTTCTTGATCTCGTTGAGCATATTACCCCAGTTCATGTTTAGCTCCTAATGTTTCGCTCAGAACAGTTACAATGTTGGGTTTTGGAACTAGTAACAGAACAAATAATTAGAATTGAATTATATAATTTCTTTCTTTTCGTATTTTTAGGCAATATGTAGCCCGATTTGAGGCGACTGCTGGTGGTCATAACTATGGCAACAAATCAAACCCTTTTCCGGCCCGTATCAAAAACATTATGGAGAATGCCACCAAGGTGGGTAGATAAGCACACAATGCACTTAATTCTCATGGACAAGGAAGTGGAGTTACTATTAGGAATGATAATTTCCTTCCGCGTTTTATTTTTATTGTTGTCCTTCCAATATTAACTGATGTACATATATTACTATCATTATTAAGAATTTAATAACGGTCTTTTACACAAATTAGGCACATCGGCTTAAACGTGTATTCCTCCATAAATGCAATGAAACATTGAAGTTCATTCTTTAGTAAGTCGATAACACGAACGCAGTTTTAATCACAACAACATAAAAGTATAGACAATGATACAAATATATATAGTTCAGCGCAATAATGTACCAACGTTCTTAATTTTTTTGAAACATAAACGCATGTGAAATAGCTATGTCATAAAAAGCAATGTTTGTATTACTGTAAGAAACATGTTGTTGGCTAATATTGCTCAAAAGTCTGTTTATTGCGCTGTTTCTTATCCATTTTAGTTATTGTCCGAATGGTTTGTTTTCAGAAAACAACCAGCAAAGACTTTCAAGTGAAGATCAAGACATCCAGCGATGAGATTGGAAGTTACTTTGGTTGTTAGACTACCATGAAAATGCACACATTAATCATGATTAACGCTTGGCAAAATGAACGCTACACGCCTCATCTTGAAAGTACGCAGTGTTCCTGTTAAAAGTGCCTGTCTGGACTTTTGTTTGCGTAAGGTTATTTGTTTGGCTATTACATAAAATCATATTTTTTTCTCTTGATATTGGATTAAAACATTTAAATTTCGTCGACATTACTCTACCTCCTCTCATGATTGCGTAGATCCGAATGCAACATGTTTGTTGACTGCGTTAAGGACTGCATGATCATACAGGTTCCCCTAAACCAAATAAGAATCAGTTGCTCGATTTCGTAGAGTGTGCATTTAAAGAAACTGGCAGCTGTGATTGGATTTTGTTGTGTAAGACGTATTGCTTTCAAATATACTTTCATCAAGTAATTAAAACCGATCATGTATTTCAGTATTTAGTCTTGTTCTCCATTGCTTATGTTGATAGTGTCCAAGGATATTTTCAGATTTGTGACATCTGGTGCAGATCTGGGGTTGGTGAAAAGTTAGCTTCCTGTACTCGAAAATGGAGCTGAATAGTATTCCAGTTATATCAGGGCGGGTCAGGTTGATTTTGGAGGTCTTGTGGACGTTTTGTTGAAACACACGAGCACGGGTATGGTGCTGACAAACCAAGAAGCATAATAGCGCGAATCGGAATTCGAAGCCACAATCATAGGTTTCTGGCATGTCAATGGAACACAACTCTGCACGACGAATTTCTGCGCCTTAGACGACTGGGGTACATGTAAGCCTACTGTGTTTGTTAGTAACTTGGTGTGATGTATTCATGTACAGCCATGTATAGAGGTATACATGTTACATTGTCGTAGACTAATGGGATCGGGTGGTCAGGCTCGCTGACGTGGTTGATGTCTTGATCGATGCTCATGATATCAATCACTGGATTGTTTGGACTCGATTGTTTCCAAACCGTCATATAGCTGGAATATTGTTGAGTGCGGCATTAAACATGTCACATTGAATCCAATTTCAATGCCACTGCAGCATTGTGCTAACAAATCGATTGTTGGTGATATGTTAAACAAAAGCACATGCAAACAATGTGAATTGGTTTACATTTAGCATTGTTTTTCAGTTTAAACATAATTTTTCATATTCTTACCAATTATGTATTTGCCTGAATTCGACGCTGGTTGTAAATATACAACAAAGAAACATCAGGGCTATTTTGTTAGTTTCCCTTACTTATTTCCTTGATTTACTTTTACTTAAGGACACAAATGACATTTGTTGTTTGTTTATTCGTTTGTTGTTGAACACCACACTCAGCAATATTCCAGTTATATCACGGAGGCTCTAAATAATGTAGGCTGGACCATACAATCCAGTGATTGATGTTGCGAATAACATTCCTCACGGTCGGGGTACGCCGCCACACAATCAACCAAGTCACCAAACCAGACCAGCAGTTCATTTGCCTTTATCGAACCGCCTTCGTGGTCTAGTGGTAAAGCGTCCGCTCGGAGAGCGGAAGGTCCGGGGTTCGATCCCCGGCCGCGTCATAACAAAAGACGCTAAAAGATGGTACTTGTTGTTACCCTGTCTGGCGCTCGGGATTAAGGGGCTAAAACAAGGACTGGTCGGCTCGGAGTCAGTATACTGTGTCTGAGTGGGGTATTCATGTTAAACTGCGGCATGGTATCTCAGTGAGCTAGCACTATAAATCGGCATCAGTCCGGACTAGTACAAGCAGCCACACAAACACACACACGTACATGCACGTCGCTATATAAGTGCAATAATCTTGGACGCGACGCGAAACCCCATTTCACCTCACCTCACCATCCTTTATCGAGGTTCTTGTCTTTAAGACTGTCAAGCGGAATTCTGAGTACTTGTACTTGGAGTTGTTTCATGGGCGTTTCCATACAATTACGCAATATAATGCAAGTGCTTTCTTGGAATACCACACTAGCTTTTTGTACATTAAGGGTACGGGATATCTGAACAGTGATGTAATGCAAGGCGTGATGTGTATCTAACTGTGTGGAGTGTAGTAGTAGTCATTCATCAACAGTGACATACAAAGTCAACAGTCGACGATTGACTTGCCGTACACATGCAGTGGCTGATTTTGATAAGCAGTAAAAATAGATGTCCCGTGGTACTATTCATATCTCTGCAGGTTTGAATAGTGAAATACACACTTTAACAATTGTCCACGTGTGATCGAAATTTAGCCCTGTGGTTGCATGCACTGGGTTAGACCGACACATACAAACACGTACTAAAGATCCATCTTGCTGGGAGGTAGGAGTTTGCAGACAGATGTTTCAAGCACAATTCTTGACAGTCAAGACGGTTAACATCAATTAGCATTATGACAAACTTATTGAAGGCCTCAATTGTAACTTTATTTGTACGTTGGTTTGTTGATATATTCCGCACTCAGCAATATTCCAGCTATATAAGGGCGGTCTGTATATATTCGAGTCTGGACCAGACAATCCAATGATCAATATCATGAACATCGATCCACGCCATTTGGAACGATGACATGCATCAACCAAGTCAGAGAGCCTAACCACCTTGTATAACAATTGTGTGAGTTACGGGTGCTACCGGTAACCCTTTTCGCGATCACCTGGTATCATCACTATTTTGCCTTTTACGCCCAGTGGAATGTGTTTTGTTGGAAGATCGAGACTACTTATTCTCTGGAAAATATTTATTTAATATTTGTTTTTAATATTTATGATTATGGAAAGGGATTTATTTATATTTCCCTAATGAGAAATAATAATGTATATCATTTGTAGCATCAATATATTGATTAAAGCTGATTAATGACATATGCTGATCATAGTGTGGTCGTATGTGTTCTTCACATTATGCTACTTAATGTTATTATTAGTGTGTTGATAATTAGAGTATACGATAAACATATTTTTCTGTGGGTGCAATTCAACGAGGCTGGCGTTTTGCCAACGTTTGCGTCATGCTTATGTTACAATACGTAACTGATGTCATGAAACATATGTGGCTTTATAAATAGTTCTGCCATGGAAGCCTGTGTTCGTATGCTATGCTATTGTGCCAGCGTCAGCGCCAGGTCATCCCCGAAGAGGTGCTTATGTCATTTCGCACATCGAATCATTATTTACCTGTAGAGACAGGCCGCTGGAAAAATATACCCAGAATCAATAGACATTGTAACCTATGTAGCTCACCGGCGATAGCCGACGAGTTTCATTATTTATTTAAATGCTCCTTTTTTGATACCATGAGATCACATTATATTCCAATTTATCTTTGTAAATGGCCGAATCTCGCAAAGTTCAAAGTTTTGCTTACCTCAAATAATTGCTTAATCGTGAAAAACATCTCCAGATTTATAAGAATTATTAATAATGCTGTCAGAAGATGAGTACAACACTATAAGCTACAATTTACCAAGTGATCACTACAATTTATTTTTTATGCTATAACATTATATGTATTGTTGGAAAAAAACATTGATTGATTGATTGATTGATTGATTGATTGATTGTTTAATTGTTATAAATACTGAGATGAAATCAACAGAGCAACGCTAACATTAAACGAAATATATATATAATGGGTACATATATAAATAGATGAAAACTTCGATATTTTAGGAAATGAAGAAATTTGTAACGAGATAAGGTGGGATGAGGTAAAATTGGGTTTAACGCCGCCTTCAAGATTATTTCACATATAAAACGACGTTCATGCACATGTCTGTGTTCGTCCGCACGCACCATTTGAAGTGAATCTAGACATTACATCACAGAATAAGAAACGTCCTCATTGGTAATCACCACAAATAGCGACGTACCGCTGATGACATGGCTCCAACTATAGAACATATTCTAACCATCAAAGGATAATGCTTCTAGAACATTCTTCACGTGACCATCACGTCATTGTTACAAGGGCTGTGTTGTCACCAAGTTTAGATAGAAAGTTTGTGATATTCAAGGAATCATTTGCTGTTCTAAGAATTTTGGAGACATTTCGCCATACAAGCCTGTACAGTAGGGGCGTATACTCACATTGCCGTGAAGTACTCGACAGGTAGGACATTGGAATTTTGACAGCTTGACTTTTTCTGTAACGATTATTTAAAATTTTCATATTTTGATGGTAGTCTAATCAGTATAATAATATATTAGCATTTATATTTTTCAGCAATATATATTATGAAACATAGAATTAATAAGTGCGAATGAATCACGAAATCCTGCGTTTGTCAATTACATATTTTGAATTTAATAGAATTAATTTCACAGAATTGAAAATGAGACATTGAAAAACAATGTGATAATTAAACGCCTCTACCATAATGTTCAAATGGTCTGTAGACATTAGAATATTTTCATAAAGGCAACTGTCGTTTGTCATGGTATCATTATACCACATGTGTATCTAGGATTGACTCTATAAAATACTGGACAAGATATACTATTATCTTCTAGTATCTTCACAGGAAGATAAAGCACCTGTTTATCTTCCCTTAAGAAATACCTCTCTGTAAAATGGTACTTGCAAACCTTTTTGTACTATGGGTCTGATGGCCTTCATTATGTAGGAAAGCGCGCGACAGCATGTTCTCGTTTCCAAAGCTTTGTTGTTGAGGCCTTAGTGATGTAAACAGTCTAAAAATAATAATACGTCATTACATTTTTATTGCACAAGTGACAGGTGCGTTTGGCGGGACATCATTATGACACAATCAGTGGCAGGGAATGTGGACACACAAGAAAATACTTTCAACGTTAAATTTGTTTGTGATATTTTCGGAGTAGCATCACATAGATCAACAGCTTATCAGTAAAATTGAATATCAAATGAATAGTAAACCTGAAATTGTTATAAAGTAGAAATGGTTGTCAAGATATTAAATTCAACTTTGTTCTTTTAACTTCAGGGATATGGCTAAGCTAAAAGGGACATCTTATGGCAGCTTGAATATTAAATAATAATCGCGGCAAAATATTATCCAGTGACTTTAACACTCAGTGTAAATCAGTAATACACAGCTGTTCAATTACCCTGTTCAGTTACTTTGAATATCTAACATGTTCGTATTACGCAGATTGTATAATTGATTTTTCTTCGCAGGTTAAATCAAAGATGGAGCCTGAACAGTATGTACGTCTAAATGGTAATATTCTGGTTATTTCCTACACTGATGTGGGAATCTTAGTTTCACGATGCCTCGAACAGTGTGTTAGTAATATCAAAATTTAGAAAGTTGTTCAAATTAAGTTTATGTGATAGAAAGTGCAAAGTGTTGCAGGTTTTTTTTGACAGCAATTTGGTCGCAGGAACACTGACTTCATTAACTTTCACAACCCATATTGCAATAAACCTTTTCTGTTATAGAGACATAGTATGTGTTTTTAATACTTCAATGACACACACAGTACAAATATAATTTTAAATAATTCCAAACTCTCAAACTTTAATTTAGATATTTTTTTATATGTATGCGTTGATCAATTTGAAAATTGATATTTGCACTTAGAATCAGCATCTTTTCTGAAATTCTTTCAGTACAAGTTGGTGAGGACTCAGCAGCTGGATGCTGCTCAAGCAAAAAGTACTATGTTTTATCTTATATCATGAGTGGCAAGGAGAGTCCACAATGGAACATTGTCCCCGTTAAAGGGTATGTTTTATTTCCTTTTTCTTGGTATGGCCAGACATCGGACGTTTAGTTTAATGAGTTGTTTACTGTGAAATATGATTTACCTTCTCAAATTCTATTGCATACATGTCGATATGATAGAGGTGTAACATTGCTGAAAGTCTTTAATGGCCCATTCGTACGTGGAGGAGATTGCGGTAAAGCATGATATGCGTACTCTTTTCGCGAACACCGGGTGTCAAACCTGCTTTTCAGTGACCCAGTCGAATACCTTTCTTCACTATTTTGCTTATATGCATTTGAATTTACTTCGGCAGATAATCGATACTGTTTATTTCTCTGGCGTTGACGTTTTGAGTGAGTGAGAGAGTGAGTTGGGTTTAACGCCAGTTTTAACAGTATTCCAGTTATTTCACGGCTTGACGTTTTGAATTCAGTGTTAATGTATATACTCTTGGAATGAATAATGCATCACAATTGTATCTAATGTTTCGCGTCGGAAGTCCCGAGATGACGAATGAACATTGTAACATAAAATCCCCTATTTCGTTCTATTTCAGTGAATTTAGAGTGGAATTCAGAGCCACTGGACAAGGAACGCTGTATGGTCATAGTTCAGATCCTTTCTCCCAGTTAGTCAAACAACATATGGAAAAAAACACCCAGGTTTGTATGGGTTGTTACATGGGCATGTAATACATATAGCGTATGCATATAAAAATCAACAACTCGCCCTCAATCATATGAGGAAGGAATGTACAGGAATATCTATTATGGCATTTTACCTTTCTTCATAATGATAACAATACCGTATGTCTTGGATCATTCCAAACTACGAAGTGGTCAAATTATATAGTTGATTGCAATTATTTACTTTCAGAAATCCACCAAAGACGTCTACCAAGTGAGGATTGAACAGAGGTCTGGGTTTGACCTTCGCCGTTACTTTCACTAGCACCAAGGAAGCCATGGAAGCCGTCACAAGAGTAAAACCCTTTGAACAGTATAGTGTATTGTCATTCAACTTCAACGTTATGTTTGAATAGCGAATGGTGATGTTGAGTGATACGGACATGAGATTGTCTCACAGGAGAGAAACATTGTGTTTAAACTACACCCAAGCAAAACCCTTTCACCATATAGTAAAACAACAGTAATTGTCTGAAACATAGTTAGTTAAACTAAAATATTTCATGTGTATGTCTATGATATATTTGCAATGTTTGCGTTGGTGATTTAGTATTCAGTATTATGCGATACTTTAATGCATCGTTATCACATATATACAATGGATTGCTTTGTGGTTATCTGAAGTCAAGTAGTGTCTTTTTCTCCAGGTTATATTTTCTTAATTTGTCTAAAGTATCTCTGAAATTGTTGAAATTTAGTTACTAAATCCTGTACTCGTCCTGTTCTGCTTCTCTCTTGAACATTGGGGTTGTATGCCATGTCACATCAGATGTGGCCAAGTGTTTATTTCAGTCCGACCTGTGGGCAGCTATGAACACACAATGCCATTGAGCAGCTGTTGTCCACAGGCGGAGGATGTTATAAGGTCGAACATGGCTTACAAGAACCTTATTGTATTCACACAAAATGCCGCCGTATTGAAAGTTTTGCTGATTTACTGGAAAGAGATACTCAATTTGCAAGCAGACTGTAGCGAATTTAAGAGATAAGGATAGGAATCGAGTCAGTCGATGCTTCCTCCAGTCATTGAATCATCGGATGACCAAACACAAGCGACCATTGTCTGATCTGTTTCTTAACAAATCACAATGGACGTTCAGAGCACTTGGTAGGTACGGCAGGCTCGAACAGCTAAGAAAGGTGTAATTGATAAGATCGGCAGCTTAGGTAGTGTGCTTTTTCCAAATCGATTCGAAGCTCAGTTGACTCCAGATGTCCATTCTTGAAATAGCCATGGCTGTCTATTTGGTTGTGAAATCGGCGACAAAACTAATGTTCAATAAAAGCTGTGTCAGTCTCAATCCCGGTGGTCGTTAATTCTTGTTTGTTTATATGACAGTATAGTCTGGAAGGTAATTTAAGGTACCGACGTTTACTACAATATCTGAAAAAAACTATTGGACGTCCTCCAGTCAAAAGTTGGTATAAGATTATTAAACAGTCATACATAACTGGATATTACATTTAAAGACAATCGGTGCATGAATAACAAATCTGTCTATTTAGCTATCACTATATTTCATCAACAACCAGACCTGTTCGTCACGGTTGGAACGAGCATTCATTGAAACAGCCATAATGCTACCCCTGCGTCACAGGGCCACATGACACAGTTGAACCAATCAACTCACTCGAAAGGGTGCACGGGAATCACGCACGGTTAGACGCCCAACGCTAACACCGTATTCGTGCGTGTGTGATTCCCGTAAAGTTGTACATTCGTTTTAATTTTAATTCGGTTTCTTGTGGTTGCGCGTGGCTGCTTATTCTTCTTTAAGTCAGCACCTTTCATCTACCTGCATTGTAGTGCGCTTGTTTATAGCCCGCTACGTGGGTTTTCTTAACATATTATGGTGACAGGAAAAACATGCAACTGAACAAATACACTACCACTCACTTTAAGATATCCAGAGGTTAAGCATTTATACTTTGCAGGGTCATATTCTGACTCCTTGGGAGACGCCTGCCTCTGCACGAACAAAAGGAGATCCGGGTGTTCATGTATGCACACTGTCATTCACCCTAACATTTCGATGTTACTAGATATAATTGCCAGTGACAAAGAGAAAGTGTATCATTTACTCATAAAACACTGATACAGTGTCCACAGCATGACTGAATAGGGACAACAGATAGTTAAGCCTACTATTGAACACCCGCTGCTGTCACGAATAATACACGGATCCAAACAAAGGATACACATGAGCTATTCAGATATTCTATTCAACAACGTGCTAAATACACATTAACAATGTCAAGGCATGCTTTGCGGCTGTGATTTAATGCCTGTGCGTCTCCCGAAAGTGAAAGTCAAAAGCTTATGTCATGATCAATAAAATGTTCTGGCTCGTCTGATTAAATATATTTTTCGGAAAATGTATTTCTTCTCAACATGAGTATTGTTTTATCCTGGTAATTGACTGCCGTGCCTGGTCTGTAAAATGTAAGAGGAGTATGTCATATATGACTGATAGCTATAAACTTTCAAAAGACACTGCCTTGCAAAGTAAATTAATGAAACACGCAATAAAGTGTCAAAATATCCTTGTATAAGTAGGTAAGAAGAATTATATCACCAGTACTATATATTATGTATGTATCATTAATCCCCTTCTTCGCGAACATATGTTTAAGGAGTAGTCGGAATCGCACAACAGACACCGCTGATGGTTATTGTTATGATTGTGTCGGTGTTATTTTGTATTGCCTTGCAATGACTATTCTATTCATTGCATGACAGATTTAACCTAAATACCACTGCACCTAAAGCCGATTCTACTTTGCTTTCTGAAGTACAGGGCATATCGACCGAGCAAAGAAGCCCGATGTGTGTTTGTCAATACTTCTACGCGGGTCGTCGCTAAGCGATGAGTACATGCACTGTAATGTCACCGCATATACAACACAGCAGTCTGAATGAAACGGTCCAACAGTCTGTGTGCTGTCATGCACTGTAATGTCACCGCATATACAACACAGCAGTCTGAATGAAACAGTCCAACAGTCTGTGTGCTGTCATGCATTATGCTCTTGTTAATAGTGTAAAGAGCTGAGAAGAAAATTTGTTATACTATTATTATTTAGTAAACTACTTGGTCTTAAATTTCCCAATATATTTCAGAGCACCACATTAGTACCTTACGACAATTCTCTAAATTTTGCATAACAATCATGGAAACATTTAAGCCCTCAGTAAACGCTGTCTTCCTGTCGTGTGCTATTCAAATATTATTGTCCCCTTATATTATGATTGCAATTACGTCTACTGATTATTGTGTATATATTGTGTAAGTCGTCATAAGTCAGTGTCAGTCAGTGTCAGTGAGTATGGTTTTACGCCGCTTTTAGCAATATTCCAGCAATATCACGGCGGAGACACCAGAAATGGGCTTCACACATTGTACCCATGTCGGGAATCGAACCCGGGTCTTCGGCGGGACGAACGAACGCTTTAACCGACCGCCCCTTCGTCATATGTCATTTGATACGGCCTGATTGCAAACTAAAGTTCGCTGATCGTCTAAGAATTGATTAATGAAGTACAACAACGTTGTACAATAACTGATATATTCACCTCATGATTTACCATTCACATATTAAGAAAGCAAGACTTAGTGTAAATGTCAATGACAACGAGTGATAACCGCAGGAATGACAAACGTACGTGGACACTAAGATAATAAAATATGTCTTATACATAGCATTCTGAGCGGTATTTAATAACTAAATGCACATCTAAGTCTTGCCGTCAGAATGTCTCAATACCTTTATACAATAACACCACGGGAGGACATCGTGTTAACTTGGTATTCAAACAAATGAGTGAGTGAGTGGATATGTTTTTACGCCGCTTTTAACAATATTCCTGAAATATCACGACGGGAGGACACCAGAAATGGGCTTCACTCATTGTACTCTATTAGGGAAGAGAACTCAGGTTTGACGGCGTGACGAGCGAACGCTTTCACCACTTGGCTACCCCATTGCCCCTCAAACTTATTGGAAATGGCATCCTCTATATATGGTTCTCGAAGGCATTATACAAAACGTCCACATACGTCTAAAGTATAAGTCTAGGCTTTTTAACGACGAAATACTATTTTTCAGCTATTCATAAATAGCATCATGCCACATCATGTATCAATCACAGGAATGTTGATGATTTTTACGACTTTGATATTTAAGACATAAAGTGAACAAGACATATCTCAAACTTTGATAGGGATTTTGTGTTATTTCATAATATTGTCATAACTGTATCATAAGCGTTCGCCTTGGTGAGTGAGTGAGTTAGTGAGTTCGATGTAACAGTAACAGAAATTTGACTCCGTGGCAGCTTGACGTGGGAGGAAAATCTGAAGTGATGCATGTCCCAGACATTTACCTTTTAGGATAAATCCACAAGAGCGGGTTTGGCGCTGACAAAGCTGGGAACATCATTAATGTGAACTGGGATTCGATCCTACGGTCATAAGCATTCGATCGGATTTTACTTACATTAGATATGATACGTCAATTTCAGAGAATAATCTATCTGCCGAAACAGATTCGACTTGGCGTAAAATGGAAAACAGTGTGCACTTGCCCCTCGACAAACATCTTTTACTGAGCTGATCTCCTTTTCAAAGGAAACAAAACTACCTTCATGGGAATTACAAAGTGAACATTTTCAAGACCAAAACTATATTTTCGTCTGTTCCAAGTAGAGGCTGAACAGCTTTAGTGACAGATTTTAGGTAGCCACCGAACCTTCATTAGAAGTGCTGCTTAATCCCTAAACTTATCTTATAATATGCTATTTGCTAGCGTTACTTGTTGTTTCAACACGTACGTCCTAAATGGTAGTTATAACAGTGGTTTGTGACGTTTTTTATGTCACGTGGTACGTCAGGTCCTTCGGCCTCTGTGTATCGCTCGACGACTACCTTTCATTTTCACTGATATTATGATGAGGACAAAGGAGAGTTCTGTATGTTTTGATGGTCGTATGCCTAAAGAGTATCAAACGCATTTCTGTTTTATAATAAAAATTATATACATTAACAATTTTACATTCAATTGTATATTTATATACTTATCCTAACTCACGCTATGCATTTCTTCCCTCTTTTATTGATCCTAGTGTGGAAATGTCCTAAACAAAGTTTCGCCCCGAACACCCATCGCATTACCAGAGTCACTACCCAAACAAATCCCGTGCACCGTGACGTTAGGGGTTTGATCACCTGACACCCTACACCATATCATTCTTTTCCCCAGAGTTGACGGGCTAGTTTAACTGTGATGCGGTGATGGGCATTAGGGCATATAATGTGTGGGATAGGATAAGTACATAAATACTAGTATACAATTTATTGTAAATTGTTCAAATTTTTAAACTTATCCTATCTAATACTGTGCATTTTCAATGAACTCTAGTAATAACTTACTTTTCAAGAAAGTGTACACTGCATAAATTACACATGAGATACTGATAACAGTGTATTTCCCGGACACGACAGTGACCCCATACAGAGGACTCGCTCTCAGGATACAGGCCAAGCAATAAATATGCAGCGCCAGACAAGCTATTCAACAGCAATAGTGAGTGAGTGAGTTTGGTTTTACGCCGCTTTTAGCAATATTCCAACAATATCACGGCGGGGGACACCAGAAATGGGCCTCACACATTGTACCCATGTCGGGATTCGAACCCGGGTCTTCGGCGTGACGAGCGAACGCTTTAACCAGTAGGCTACCCGACCGCCCCTCAACAGCAATAAGATGGCATACGTGGGACAATAAGGCATGACTACTGACTGTTAGTCTCGCGTACCCCTGAATAACTGTTATGTCTGTGTTATTGTGTGTGCACCCGTCTAGCGGCAGAGAAATCAATAGGTTATATCAATTCAGTATTCTAGCTAGCCTATATTCAATTTCACTTCTTAGAAACACGGCTAACATGTGGTTATTCTCGTAGATGACTGCCTGGGGATTTGAATGTAAATATAAATTTGAATCATATATGTCTGACGACTAGCAACTATAATACGACAGTATGTATAATTCAAAGTGGCATGTGTCTTCACGGAAGAAGTCAAGCATTGTGTTTGTTGCGTTATATAAGGCTGGAATGTATAAGTAAGAAAGTTACATACGTGTAGTATGTTGTATATGTAGTATACATATGTTGTCTGACTTAATTGTGGGTTTGACATTAATCTCCTGACTTTCTTAACAGTGATGACTTTGCATGATGGTACTCTAATCATACTTAACGTATATATCACGGAAACATCAGACGGATTTATGCCCTTGA